GGACCGTTGCTGTACCTTGTATTAGTGAATGAAGTGTACTGTAACATGTACTAAAAATTTTGCAAAATTCAAGAGGTCAAGGTTTTGTCCCTTTGTGAGATATAAACAGATTTTTTAAGACTTTATTAATAAACTTTGACATTTGGGAGACCGCTGACTTCTTTGTCGATTTCAGTGAAGTCGTTACCAGTGAAGTCGAGATATCGCAGTTTGACGAGATCAGCGAAAGCGCCATTATCCACAGCACTTATGTTATTGAAGGACAGCTTGATGTCTTCCAGATTGGAGAGTCCGGCAAAAGTGCCGACTACAATGTGAGACAGTTTGTTTTCCCTCAGGTCCAGTCGTTTCAGCTGAGATAGATCTCTGAACGTATCTGGCTCGAGAGCGCTGATCTCGTTCTGCTGAAGATCGAGTTCCTTCAGACCGACCAAGTCGCGAAGGAGCGACCTGGAGACGCTTGTTATCCGATTGTCACTTAAGTAAAGATTCTCCAGCTTGTTCAATCCTCTAAAGGCACCGCTCGGCAAATCCTCTAGCCGATTGTAGTCCATGTGAAGGCGACTCAGTTCGGTTAACCCGGCGAAGGAACCCGGCGCGACGCGAGAGATTTTATTGCTGTTGAGCCAAAGGTCCAGCAGTCCAGGATTAAGATTCGAGAAGGATTCCGCCTCGATCGCTTCGATATCGTTGTAATGCAGGTCGAGACTTTTCAAGCTTGACAGCCCGGCGAACGAGTCTTTCGGTATCGAATTGATCTCGTTGGACCCCAACCACAGCAACTCCAGGTGTCCCAAATCCGCGAACAAGTACCCCGATAACGGTACCACATTGCGGTACAAGGAGAGCATCTCCAAGTTGGGCAAACCGCGGAAAGATTCCCTCTTCAGCACAGATATCTGGTTGTTACTCAGAACCAACGTCGTCGTCGACAGGTTCTTGAAGGCGTTCTCTCGAATCGCCAAGAGGCCCAGGTTCATGAGGTCCAACATCCGTCTTTTATCCTCGAAACGGCTGTGTGTCACTTCGACGAGGACCCCCTTGCAGTGAGAAACGTTGTAACCAAAACGTTGTAACGTTGTAACGTTTCCGTTGTCCTGGCAGATCGGCTCCTTCACCTCCGACGAGGCCCTCGCCAAAAGAAACAGGATGACGACTTGCGAAAAAAGCAGACGAAACCGCGACATGGCGAGAGAGTTCGAATCAGTCGACGCGCCTAACCGAGTGACACGGACGCAACTGCAATTTCGGGTTTTACATCTCGTGGTGAGTTAGCGATTAGATAGCGCAGCGTGACTTTTGGCATTGATTATCGTCACTTGCTGAGAAACTAGCGCGACTGGGTTCTCGAAACCGGAGTCGATTACGAAATGTCAATTAAAGTTGAAGGTGCTGTGTAGTTTTAATTCACGACGATAACGACAATATAACGACACGAAGATCAACTGGCTGCCCGAACGCCACATTGCTATTATACGGACGAATTGATTAATCGTTACATTATCACAGTTGATTTAATTGAGTTCAAATCATATATTATAACATCGAATATAATAACGCATGAAGTTGCGATTGAAAAATTTATTTATTTATTTCTTATGTCGGGAAGCATTCAACTCTGAGAAGAAGATAACCATCAACCCTTGACCTCTTCAATTTTTATGTTACAGTACGAGAATGTATTTTATTACACTTGAAAATTACTTGAAGAATAGATGGAGGCTTTAGAACTTCTACATATTATCTAAACTGTGAACTGTATAATAAATTAATAAAGCCTAATAAGCGTGTAAAAATCAAATACAGAAAAATATTGACCGTTCGGTGATAATATATCGAAACTTGTAGCGAAATTTCAGAACGTCTATCGGCAACCGGAGTTTTGTCGCACTCTTCTTTCATCTCCAACGACTTGTTCAAACACAATCGTCTTCATTCGTCTTCATTCGTAAACCCAATTACCCGCCATTCAAGTAAACTGAATAGTGTCCACGCGGCTGTATAATATCGCGCGTGACACTTTCCATCCGTCCTTTTGTACTCGAATAATTCAAATACGACGATATATAGGTACATTTGCCAGTTCGACTGTTCACTATATCATCGCGCTTCAGCCGCCGATCGCGTAGACAAACCGATCGTTCGGTTGAATGAAACTCCTAATGTCAGTAGGGAGAATAATGGGGAACTGAGTCTAATTCTCGTAAGTGTTACTTCGCGGGAAAAAAAAAACCATTACAACTACTTTAAGATATGTGCAACAATGAATAATATTAAACAGAAAATAAAAAATATTAATTGGTTTGTTACTTACAGCATATAAATAATGTGGAGTGTAATTTACACCCACGTACCCCTTCTACGTTTTTTCACGCGCCCCTTGAAGGGTTAAGGAACTTTATTCTCATATTAAAAAGACAATAAAAATTATAACAAATAAGGCACAATATATACAAATACATATATAAAAGTTATTCTTTATTTATTCTACATTTCTACTCTTTCCCCTTAAGTGTAATAATTAGTTAGCGATTGTATGGCGCAGAAAGATATGCGCTGCTTCTCTAATGGTCGAATTCTAATAGCGAATTCGGGCGCTCGCACTAGCGCACGCTGAGTGCGCACTAAGGCTTGTTTATAATCTATTCTTATAAATTTAAAGTGATTAAAGTCGCTTAAATACATATTTACAAATTTTTTAGCTAATAAAACAATCTGTAATATCTGTATGGATACTGTACAAATAATTTTACAGGCTAAGAAATATTTAAGATGATTTGTAAATATAACAATTGTGATTAAGAATAAGCGTTTGTGCGCATTCAGTATGCACTAGTGCAAGCGCTCGAATTCGCTGTAAATGACTAGAAAGATTCGAAAGTAGACGTGAACGTACGTCAGAGAACTATTTTCATAAGGATTTTGGGCTACCCAGTCATCAACCATACAAAATTTTTTAAATATATAATAATAGTAATATTAATTAAAAAAATAGTTTTAAAATTTGTACTTAATGCGTTTTTAATATCTATAAGGGAAATAGTTCCCAAAACTGATTATCCTTTTACCTCATTGTCTCTTTACTCATAATGTTCAATCCCCTTTATGAAATCAAGGTATAATACATGGGATGACAGGCTTTAATATTCGCCTACCAATTTGTAACCGCACGTACGATTCTATCTATAATTTTTTTGTTTTTTTCACCTTTTGTGAAGTCCAACAGAGGATTTCTCATCTTGGCCGTTAACAATCTCGCCAAGTTCTCTCTCATAAATGCCAAATGGTTTCCTACCTACAAGACCATAACAAATATACGATATTTGTACGGTTAAAATGTTACGTCAGAATCATTCATATGAAGATATATATTTGTAACTTTAATCTTACCTCCGCATCCATTGTAAATGTAAGCCAGTTATGATTCAGAGAAATAATAAAATTTCCATCGGGTGAGTTTTGGAAATTCGGGAGACCAGAGAATAGTATTACAGCCAAAACTGGGATCATGGACACCTCCAAGATGAAAACTTGGCTGGTCTTGAGCTCCCGCTGGTACGCCAGAAACGGACTTGAGAAGGATTTGGCATGAAAATTCACGGACGACGGATGGATTTTGACAATATCACCGCCTTGCGTCTCGAACACGGTATTCTGCGGGTCGAAGTTTGCATTAGTTTGATCCTCTTTGAGCTTTGCGATGTTGGGATACAAAGCCGCGCAGATAAGACCCTGCAACAGCTTGTCGTTCGAATTGTTTTTATTCAGTTCCTTTCCGGTAATTATGAAAATATTGTCGATGTTAGGCTGCCTCCTCGGTAAATCGATATGCACGAAACCGCTCGATACCAGCAGCTCCAAAAATTGATACTTCAGGCCCACTAAGGTGTACAGCGTATGTACGGACAAAAAATTTTCTTTGGCAAACTTTATACCGGCCTTTTTACCTTCCTCATACGTAATATTTTGCCATTCCTATGGAAATAAAAGCTTCATTAAAAAATTGGACATTATTGTTAGATTAATTATCAGAAATTACTTTACAAATCTTACCCTGTAAGCCTGAAGAATGGTCAGGTGGTCGGAGTTCTCCTTGAAGAATTTTATCTTAGAATCGACTCTTTCTTTCGACTCAAGCGATACGCTAAACGGGCTCCTGTGCGACATGCACGCGGCGATGGTAAGCACGGAGTCCAAGCAACAAAAGATCGCGCCGCACAATATCAACTTTCCAATTCCTACGTCTACAGGTAACTTGGCTAAAAGATGACCGAGGGACGTTAACTTGCATTCCGAATCGAACGCGTCGACATTCTGCAAACGTTTTATCGTGCCCGTAACCTGGTGGTGCGACGGTGAATCCAGCATTCTCTCTGTTGAGAAAGATTTGAGAAGGGACGTAAATTATTATTATGTTCGAAAGAGACAACGGGACGAATGCAAGACGTATAAAGATGAAGTTTTCTTACGCGTTATCGCGTACATATCCACTTTCCTCCCTCCGTGCATAAGCGCGATATGTAGGAGTAGCGATTCCAAAGAAACTCTTAGTATTTCTGGTGCCGGACGTGCAGCGAAATGTTCGTATCTACAAAAGTAGATGTATCTCTGTCACGTATATTATACATTATACTTTATTCGACTAGAGTTTTGGCACGTACCTATGCGAGGTGTATAAATGAATGCATACTCCGGGCGTTACTCGACCCACGCGGCCTTTCCTTTGCACGACATTCGCTTGCGTCACCCAGCAGGTCTTCAAACACTCCACGTTTTTGTCCGAATTAAATCTGGATTCCTTCATCCTTCCCGAATCGATCACGAAAACGCAATCGTCTATAATGATAGACGTTTCGGCCAGATTTGTACTGATCACAATTTTACGAACGCCTTCGATTTTCTGAAATACGCGGCTCTGTTCCTCAATTGAAAGGCTCGAATGTAACGGAAGAATCATGATTTCATTCCTTGATAGAATAAAGTTTCCCTCCAACTGTTCCATCAATGTAATTATTTCATACAAGCCTGGTAAGAATATCTGAAATATACGATCATATATATATCATCATCGATGCAACTCGAGCTACGGCCTCCCGAAGTTTGGCCCCTCACCTTGGAGGACCAGTAATCACTTATAGGGTGATATACATAGCAGTTACTAATGTGCGGACCAACGGTTTAACGTCTCTTCCGAAAGACGAAGTTTCTCCGCACGAGAGTTCCCTTTTTATTTCTCGTACGAAAACACACTTTGCTCACACCAATATAATAGGCAACTGCTACGCCAGAAAAAAAAATATAGACATACGAACATATAGAATATACGAACAAATAGATGCAGAATCGAAAAATGAATACACTTACTAAAATAGAACCCTTTTTGGGATAGTTATGTTCTCCAGTAATAATCCACTCCAAGATATGTTCTATTAGATCATAATTAATTTTATCGTAATTCATAAGGTACAAATTTTTATACGTTTGTTTGGAACGATTAGGATATCTATTAATAAGTTGCGTCATCGTCAAGTCCTCGTCCTTAGTAGATTTCTCAGCAATACAATCGACGGTGCCTCCGATTTTAATATTCAAATCAGTATAATGTCTCTTAAAAAGCACCTCTTTGTTCTTCTTGTGCCTGCAAATATATTTAGAATCTACGTCGAGAATGTATCCCGTTTCTTCGAGCGCGTCCTCGAGAAAGATCTGCTTCACTGAGAAGAAAGTTCCTGGAATATTTAAGACTAGCGCATGTTCGAAATACGAGGAAAACACCTCGGCATTGATCGTCGCGCTCATCAGTATTATTTTCAACGACGGCCTCTTCGGTAACAAATCCTTGAGAAGCATTAGTAGAGAATTACTGGTAGAAAAAGAATAAGAATTAACATGTACTGGGAAAGATCTCAAAAGTAGAAATAAAGTTTTATCTTATTTTACCTTTCAGCATTTCTTTCGTGCACTTCATCGATTACAACGTGAGTTATATCCGTTAAATTAAGATCCCCCATTAATTGCTGCAGTAGTATCCCTATGGTGCAAAACGTCACTCGCGTCCTACTCGACAATTTTTTTTTTAGGCGTACGTGATATCCAACTGTATCACCTATTTTTTCGATTCTCTCAGCTGCTACTCTTTCCGCAAGTACTATAGTACTTATCTTACGAGGTTGAGTGCACATTATATTAATATGCGCATTATCTCCATTCTGTATTATACCGTTAATAATCCAATCATCCAAAACAAACTGTGGTATCTGTAATATTTTTATGGAGATTATATTTCATCCTGTTATATCTACACAATTAATCAAGAAATAGTGCGACATACCTGAGTGCTTTTACCACATCCAGTTTCACCAGAAATGATAACAACTTGATTCTTATGTATAGCTTCCAAAATTTCGTTCTTTTGAGACCATACAGGAAGTTTTTTTCGTACTTCTTGCATCTTTTTATATGTAGGGTCTTTTTGTTTATCCATAAATCCTTTTTTTATCAAATTGTTTTCTTCATTAATATGTAAGCTATTATAATACTTCTTGATGCTATGGTTGAGTTTGGTCACGTCATTGGAAAGGGGTAACCAATCGATCATATTTTCTTCTCGCTCTTCTGTTCCGCCTACATGCAGCGGGTTAATTGCACAAGGATTGATCACATTCTCTTCTCTTTTTTTTAGTCCCCCTGCACACGATGGGCATGGCTCAGGGACGTTAGATTTGAACATATTTCCTCCTCTCTTCTCTGGTCCCATTGTGTACGATGGCACAAATCCGGAATAGACCATACTTTCTTCTCGCTTTTCTAGTCCTCCTGGATACAGTGGCTCAACTGCTTGAGGATTGAATATATCCTCTCCTCTCTTCTCTGGTTCCTCTGCACAATACGATGGCTCAAGTACGTAATGATTGATCGCACTTTCTCCTCGCTTTTCTAGTCTCCCTGGATATGATGGTATAGATACGTTAGAATTGAACATATTTCTTTCTCTCTTCTCTGGTTCCATTATGTACGATGGCACAAATCCAGGATAGACCAGACTTTCTTCTCGCTTTTCTTGTCCTCCTGGATACAGTGGCACAACTGCTTGAGGATTGAATATATTCTCTCCTCTCTTTTCTGATTCCTCTGCACGATACGATGGCTCACGTACGTAATGATTGACCGCACTTTCTTGCTTTTCTAGTCCCCCTGAATATGATGGTATAGGTACATTAGAATAAACAATACGGTCTTCTCGGTTTTCTTGCCTCCCTGCACACATTGGCACAAGTACGAAACAATTGATTATATTCACATCTGGTTCCCCTGCATGTAATGGCATAGGTGCGTTAGGATAGACCATTGGTCCCCCTGAATATGATGGTATAGGTACATTAGAATAGACAATACTGTCAATACTTTCTTCTCGCCTTACTTGCCTCCCTGCACACACTGGCACAAGTACGAAACAATTGATTATATTCACATCAATCACACCTGGTACCCCTGCATATAATGGCATAGGTACGTTAGGATAGACCATACTTTCTTCTCGCTTTTCTGGTGTTCCAACATACATTAACTCAACTGCTTGAGGATTGAATACATTCCCTCTATTTTCTGGTTGCCCTATATACGATGACTTATTAAGCATGCAAGGATAGATATTTTCTCCTATATTTTCTCCTCGTTTTTCTAACCCTCCTACGTACAGTGGTCCAACTGCTTGAGAATGGAATATGTTACCTCCTGTATTTTCTGGTTGCTCTACATATAATGGCTCAAGTACATCAGAATTGACCATATTTTCTTCTCGCTTTTCTGGTCCTTCTGCATACAGTGGTTCAACTGCTTGAGAATAGAATATATTATCTCCTGTATTTTCTGGTTGCTCTGCACACGACGACTTAAGCTTGTACGGATAGACCATATTTTCTTCTTGCTTTTCTTCTGTGTACAGTGGTCCAACTGCTTGAGAATGAAATATATTATCTCCTGTATTTTTTGGTTGCTCTACATATAATGGCTCAAGTACATCAGAATTGACCATATTTTCTTTTCGCTTTTCTGGTCCTTCTGCATACAGTGGTTCAACTGCTTGAGAATAGAATATATTATCTCCTGTATTTTCTGGTTGCTCTGCATACGACGACTTAAGCTCGTAAGGATAGATCATATTTTCTTCTTGCTTTTCTGGTCCTTCTGCATACAGTGGTCCAACTGCTTGATAATAGAATATATTATCTCCTGTATT